CCGTTATAAATAGAGGGGACAGTTAGTTATAGGCTATTGGAGTTGAGTTGAAATATTGAGTTGGGTTTTAATGGGTCTTTAATGGGTCTTTAATGTTAGGCCCATTAAATGTTTTCGATTTTTTTTTTTTTGTTAATTTGATATTATTTAATTGTGTATATTTTCCTTCTCTTTCCCTCTCTTTTGTCTTCTTCTAATGATCCAATTTCGAAGAAACCGCAAAAAAATGGGTCGCTATTTACCGGCGACATACCAAACTTGACGAAGAAGAAGACATTTTTGACTACCCGAGAAAATTATAGAGAATTTTGTTTTGTTCGAGAAAATCTGGGTTTCAGTTCATCGGAGAAATTCTTTAATCGCTTCTCAGTAATCAGTTACTTCGATGTTTTTGGTAAGTTTCGGAGATTTTAGCGATTTGAATGTTTGATTTTATAGTTTCCGTTTCTTCTTCTTCGTTTGATTTTTTTTCTCCCTGTAACTGTCGTCGAATTAAGAAGATAAAATCGATATGTTATACTCTATTCCTCTCTCTTCGCCAGTTTTTTTTTTTTTTTGGTTTAATTCTCAGATTTTTGTTGGGTATAATAAGGTTGCAGGGAACAGTAATTGAAAGTTAGCTTTAATCGGAACCCTAATTTTAATTTTTGGGATTTATTTTGCATATGTATGATACAGGATCCGTCAAAGAACACCAAGGCTTAAGTTATGGGTTTTGGCCACGATAATCGTGTAAGGTTGTTTCCTTGCTTCAATCTTCGTATGTTTTTATGAGTGATCATAGTCATTGTGTTCGAAAATTGTCACTGTTTTTTCAGAAGATTCTTAGAAAAAATGATGATTTTTGTTTAGGTTCAAAGATTGGAATTCAGAGGGAGAGTATGGTTACGGAAGTAAAGCTAGACCATCACTAAACGCAGTTTTGAAGAATGTTCGTAGAGGATTTGAGAAAGGGTCAGATAAAATCAAGACCTTTAAGAAACCATTGAGTAGTTTCGGTTCACACCACAAGAGAAACCATTCTAGTAGTACACATAAGAAGAAGAAGAACAATATAAACCCACTAGGCTCTTTTCTACAGACCTGGAACAAAATCTTTCTATTTGCTTCGGTTATTGCTTTGGCGATCGATCCGCTGTTTTTCTATATTCCCATTGTTGATGGAGAAAGGCACTGCCTTAATTTGCATTCGAATTTGGAGATAGTGGCTAGTGTGCTTCGAACATTTATAGATGCTTTCTACATTATTCACATTGTGTTTCAGTTTAGGACAGCTTATATCTCTCCTTCTTCCCGGGTTTTCGGAAGAGGCGAGTTGGTAGATGATCCTAAATCCATAGCTATAAAGTACCTCTCCTCGTACTTCATCATCGATGTTCTTTCTATCCTTCCACTCCCACAGGTATATCACTACTTCGATTCCTTAATTGTCCAATGGTTTAATGGGTTGCTTGATGGTTCATTAGTGTCTTCTTTGTTCTGCAGCTTGTAGTCTTAGCTGTTATCCCCAATGTGAACAAGCCGGTCTCTTTGCTCACTAAAGACTACCTGATAACTGTCATATGTACTCAATACATTCCCAGGATTCTTCGTATTTATCCGCTTTACAGTGAAGTGACAAGAACATCTGGCATAGTTACTGAAACAGCTTGGGCTGGAGCTGCTTGGAACCTCTCTCTCTATATGTTAGCCAGTCATGTGAGTTCCAAAATCATCAAAAACAGTATCTTATACAGGATTTTGATTGATCAAGTTTTATCTGATCAAACTTACTTGTCTAGGTGTTTGGAGCCTTGTGGTACTTAATATCAGTAGAACGAGAAGACAGATGCTGGCGTGAAGCTTGTGCGAAGAGACAAGACGGGTGTGATTTTAGATTTCTCTACTGCAATGAAATCAGTAATGTTAGAAACGATTTCCTGACTACCTCGTGCCCGTTTATCAACCCTGATGACATAACAAATTCGACGGTCTTCAACTTTGGTATCTTTACTGATGCTTTAAAGAGTGGGATTGTTGAATCTGATGATTTTTGGAAGAAATTCTTCTACTGCTTCTGGTGGGGTCTGCGTAATCTAAGGTTTGTAACTCTTTCTATAGTTAGAACTATTCCATTTCGAGCCCGTTATTGCATTCTTATGTACCAAGTGACACATTTGATGGCAGCTGAGATATGAACAGTGGCTCTCTAGTTACATCTTTAGCTATGAGATATGTATAAAAGACTAACTTGATCACTTGCTTTCTCGTTGCAGTGCATTGGGACAAAATCTCAATACGAGCAAATTCGTTGGGGAAATCATCTTTGCTGTATCAATTTGCATATCTGGACTAGTCTTATTCGCACTACTTATCGGCAATATGCAGGTAAATCCTTGAAGAAATCATATTAAACCACTCCTTACATTGCCTCAGTGACAAGAACTATAAGATACCGAGGTTTCCATTTACTATTGCAGAAATACTTGGAATCGACAACAGTTCGGGAAGAGGAGATGAGAGTGAGAAAAAGAGATGCAGAGCAATGGATGGCTCATCGGATGTTACCAGAGGACCTGAGGAAACGTATAAGAAGGTATGAACAATACAAATGGCAAGAAACCAGAGGAGTAGAAGAAGAAAACCTTCTGCGTAATCTCCCTAAAGACCTTAGGAGAGACATTAAACGCCATTTTTGCCTCGATCTCCTCAAGAAAGTACCTATGTTCGAGATAATGGATGAGCAATTGCTAGATGCCGTATGTGACAAGCTAAAACCCGTGCTCTACACCGAAAACAGCTACGCAATCCGAGAAGGAGATCCAGTGGAGGAAATGTTGTTTGTAATGAGAGGAAAACTTATGAGCGCCACCACAAACGGTGGCCGGACCGGCTTCTTTAACGCCGTATACCTCAAAGCCAGCGACTTTTGCGGTGAAGATCTTCTCACTTGGGCATTGGATCCTCAATCTTCGTCTCATTTTCCAATCTCAACCAGAACAGTTCAAGCTTTAACCGAAGTAGAAGCCTTTGCTCTTGCAGCAGAAGATCTCAAGCTAGTCGCTTCGCAATTCAGACGACTCCATAGCAAACAGCTTCAACATACTTTCAGGTTTGGTCTCTTTTCGACCCAATCTGTTGGTTCTCCGAGATCACCGGTTCGATTTGGTTTAATTCGGTTTAACATTTTTCAGGTTTTATTCGGTACAATGGAGAACTTGGGGTGCATCTTTTATACAAGCGGCGTGGCGGAGACATTGTCGTAGGAAACTGGCGAGGTCATTAACAGACGAAGAAGATCGATTACGAAACGCGATTGCAAAACGCGAACGCGACGCTGCGTCGTCGTCATCATCGAGCCTTGTTGCTACGTTATACGCGTCGCGTTTCGCTTCAAACGCGCTTCGTAATCTGCGTCACAATAACCTTCCTTTGCTCCCTCCTCCTAAACCTTCCGAACCTGATTTCACTGCTAATCATATTTGAAGAAACTCTTAAATATCTCTTACACGATTCCACTCACTCTACTTGTAAATGTAATCACTTCATCTAAAATAAAATCGTAGAAATTAGAAATATTTCTATTTTTTCTTACAAAAATAAACAAATTACAGGTGTGTATAAATGTTTGGGATAATTTGCTCAAAATACAACAAAAAAAATTATAACTTAAAAAGTAATCAAAACCCCAAATTCAATAGTTATGATTTGGCCACATATCTCATTTTCACTTATTTTTTAATTATTAATTTTTTTTGTTACACAACAAAATCACCCAAAATATTTTTTGTTAAAAAAAAAATTGAATTGTAAAGGTTAAAAAATGAGATTAGTAAACAAAGCAGATAATCCGAACACAAATTACATTAACCGACACGTGGCAGTAACAGCCGACAAAGAAGCCGCCAAAAATAAAGCCCATAAAGGCCCATCAAGTT